CGCATGTGATCGGCGGCCCCTTTGGCGGCCGATAGGGCCGAAGTGTTGTTACGCGCGGCGATTACCGCAAAGCCCCGATTGGCCACAGTATTCATGAAAGCCGTGTCGTGGCCTTTGAACGGCAGGGGCTCGCCGTCGATACAGGCGCTGCTCGAGTCGGGAAACTGTGTGCTCGAGTGGTTACCCCAGATAGTGACTCGTGAGATATGACCAGGGTCGTCCAGATTGTGTCGGGCGGCCAACTGGTGCACCAGTCGATTGTGGTCCAGTCGGATCAGTGCGGTTATATTGCGGGCGGGTATGACTGGGGAGGCGTATTGGGCGGTGATGAGGGCACAGGTGTTGCACGGGTTGGTCACCACCAGCACCCGTACGTTGGGTGAGGCGTATTTGGCCAGCGCTCGGCCGTGGGCGGCGCAGATCTAGTTCATCATAGTTAAAACAAACACATTTATTTTTAACAAAAAACTTGGTTTTTTACACAAATATGTTTTTTCATATATAAATATGAATTTTTATCCAAAAATTTAAAGCACCCGTACCTTAACATTAGCCTCCAAGAGGTCCTTGCGTTGCATACCTTCGTGTCGGGGCATTGAGGCCAACATGAAGACCGAGTCCACGTCTTTGAAGGCCACGGACTCGTTATCTGTGGCCACAATCCGCCGGACCAAAGGGTAGGCGCAGTCCTCCAACTCCATTACCACTCCCTTCAATGGCAACACCCGTCGCGCCAATAGGTGTATAATTAGGGGTTGTTTACTACCAAACACCTGACCGCTGGCCACCATCGGTAGTAAACTGTAGGCTATGCTACCGGTGGCGCCGGTGATCAGCACTTTGATCGGGGTCTTCATTTAGTTAATTGATTTTGTTATAATAACTTATAGTTGTCAGAAATTAATATGGTGATATTATAGTAGTTTTCAAACTTTTAATAAAATAAGTTTGTTTTATAAGTTTGTACCACAAAATACAACTTATTTTACTCTTAAAACTAACAAATAAAACTTTGTGAATTGTTGCTAGTAAAATATTGAATAATAATCAATCAATCGCATTTATATACAATGCTTATATACCATAAAATTGCAACATTGAAAGCAATAAAACGACAATTTATATGTTATTAACTGTATAACTAATAGGCTATTAATTTAATTAAAATTCAACACAATTCTGGCGAAAAATCATTATCTATTGCTGTTTATTGCAGTTATTTTTAGGCGCTAGTTGTTTGTCTCCGTTTTACTGTACTGATTATAATCTTGGTGATATTAGTGGCATTTGTGCTTTATCAAAGTACCTTTGCCATGTACTAAAGTTAGCTCACAAAATAATACAGATAAAATTATATGCCGTTTCATTATCTATAATAAAAGTATCTAATAGTTAGAGGGGTAGGGGTTAAGGGGTATGTATACCGGATTTAAACCCCCGGACCCGTAGACTGTGAACACATTGGTTACGGAAATTATTAAGTGTTTTCATTAATGCATTTCATTTTCTTATCTGTTGTTAGAAAGTGTTAACTAAAAGTTGTTTATTATTTATTATAATTTATTTATGTTATTATATTTATTAATAATTTCTTATCATAAAACTTGTGTTGCATTTAGTTTGCGAAATAACACATAAAAATTTTGCCAATAATATTGATGATAACTCTAGTAAACATTATATGTAACTTAAATAAAATAAATTAAATTATAGCATAACATTTAAAAATTAACTATTTGGTAAAAATATTATTTTAATTAATTATCAAATAATTAATTAATAATAAAAAAGTACTGTATATAACTGTATATATCAATAGTGTATTATTCAATAAATAAATAACAATTTCAACGCTAAGTAATTTAAACTTTTATATACTAATTAAATAAATAATTTTTTAACAGTATTTTAATAAGTTAAAATTTTTAACTAGATTTAAATCTTTAATTTATTAAACTACTATTTCCAACAAGTAAAATTGCAAGTAATTTTATTTATTATACACGTACTTTAATTACATAAAGTTATTGGCCGTAGTTTATGCACAAGACTAATGAAATTGAAAACATTTTTTTCACTGGACTTTCACTCGAAACACAACAAACGTTACGTCAGTTATAGGGGAAAAGTTAATAACCATGTAAGCATTAAATGTCATACACTATACATATAACAAATACACACTAAACTCACACACTAGGGAAAGGGGGCCGAAACGTGCATTAAACGCGTAACGCTATCAGTGAACAGGACATGGCGTTAGCAGAACATTGAACTTCAAAACACAAGAGAAGTGAGTGATTGAGAAATGCAATGGAAATGAACGATACGTTCGGTTCATAACAAACAAACAGTGACAGAGTTTTCGGTCAACGAATTAACAACTAATCACTCAATGAATTGCAGCCGAAAACTGATCGTTAGTTTAACCGGTCGTCCATTAATTACGGGCATTAATTAAAACTCGTTATTAATTAACAATACTATTAATTACAGTAACTTTTAATCGCAATTAAAAGCGACGTTTTTTATTAACGAACGTCACATCAGAAAATCATTACAAATACAGAAAAATAAATAAATAATAATAATTTTTACGACCAATTGATTGCATAAATAGTTTATTTTAATAATCAGTGAATAATTAATTAATAACTAATTAAAACTCATTTAATTAACTGCGAAAAGCGATGCAACACTATTTACAGCCAATAGTGTACTGATTGGTACACAACAACTGGACATCTGTTCACTCTATCGGCCAATTGTGTGCCGCCGGTGGGCGAGGAGTGGTGTCCACACATCGCGTGACACCCGACCGGACACGTGTCGGGACACGCGATCCGCGAGTCACGTGACACACATCGCGTCACTCAACACGTGGTGTGTGTCTGAAAACGGTTGGACAGCACTACCACTGGAGGCGCCGCCACTGGACTCGAGACAACTGCCAGTAGACCAG